AGAAAGAAAGAAAGAAAGAAAGAAAGAAAGAAAGAAAAGAGAAAAGAAAGAATAAGTTTTTTTTAAAAGTTTGGAGAAGTTTTCTGGATGTGGTGGCACAAGCCTTTAAGGCAGGATTAGGAATTCAACCAAAAATTCATTGCTATCATCTCCATATTTATTTATATTAGAAAAATGAACAGAACATAAATGTTCCCAGTTTCTGGAGGGATTCATTTTGTATGCTTCTGAGGACAGGAACTAAATCACTCAATCATTCGATGCTGCTTAACACCTGAGAGGTGGTTGGTATGTGTGCGGAAGGTTCTTCTGCAAATCAGGATTTCTCTGCTGTCCATTGAGGAGCGTGAAGAGATAGATGACAGTAACTTTGACCCTGTTTCGTGTACATCTGAGTGTTCAAACTCTGCACACATAATGCAAGGATTGTTTACTTGGGCTGGAAATGCAACCGAGGGTTTTAATTTTGAGGGGACTCAGTCTGCAGCCAGGATGGACTGGGGCTCAGTCTGCAGTCAGGATGGACTGGGGCTCAGTCTGCAGTCAGGATGGACTGGGACTCAGTCTGCAGCTAAAGCCTTGAAGCAATGAGTGAAATGTTTATATTGGATCACATGACTAGTTGTTTTTTTGTTGTTGTTTTTGTCCCCATTTTAGATTTTCTTCTGAAAACAGGGTCTCATATTAGTATACCCCAAGCTAGATTCAATCTTAGGTGGCTAGGAATGCCTTTAAACTTCATTATATTTTTAAAACTAGTATGTAGCACACTGGGTACCATTGTGACATTTTCAAGTGTTTTTATGACCCCTCTCCCCAATCCCCTGAAACCTAGGCAAACACTCCTCAAGAGTTCTCAGCTTTCCTGATGTTGTGACCCTTTAATGAATCCCTCATGCTGTGGTGACCCTCAACCATGAAAGTATTATTATCTTTGACTTTTCTGAGACAGGGTTTCTCCGTGTAGTTTTGGTTCCTGTCCTGGATCTCGCTCTGTAGACCAGGCTGGCCTCGAACTCACAGAGATCCACCTGCCTCTGCCTCCCGAGTGCTGGGATCAAAGGCGTGCGCCACCGCCGCCTGATGAAAATTATTTTTGCTGCTAGCTTTATAACTGTAATTTTGCCACTGAGCGGTGCCTCGGTTCCTATGCCTGTCGGAAATCTATTTCCCAATGGTTGAGACCCAGAGGTTGAGGGCCTCTGCTCTGCAGTTACATCTCCATCCTTACATGACCACCACAGAAGTCAATCAATCTCATCCTTACCGCGGACTCTTAGGATCACACTGAGGCTGTGAAGCTTACTCAACAAACACCTTGACCTGGGTGAGCCATCTTGCCAGCCCTGCCTCAGCCTTCTGACTGAGGAGACTACAAAAGTGTGGTTAAGTCCATAAACACACACTCTTTTTTTACGCCCAAGTGAGACTTGATTTTGGGGCCATTCCTTTGCTTCCAACTCCCATGTGTTTGAGATCACTGTAGTCAGCTACCCGTCTTTATATTGCATCTTATGGCTGAAACATCAATTAACCAGAATCACGGTCCCTTCGCAGAATTCATTCTTCTTGGCATTTTTAGGTCTGGGTTTTGGTGTAGATAGCCCTCCCAAAAGCTGTAACCACTAGGTTGGGCCTATAGTCTCCCACACATCTAGGGAGCTGTGGCAAGAGACCGCAGAGGCTTGCACAGTGTGGGGCCTGGAATTGCATCCCAAATTGAACATTTATAGACTTTTTGTCTTCTCAGGTAAAATATCACCCCAAAGTTCCAAAGTCAGTGATGCACAATCATATAGCTTATGATTGTCCTTTAAAAAAAATTATGCCATCTCTCTAGTTCTGCATACTGTTCTTAAATATTCTTAAAAGTATGGACTTTAAGGCTGGAGGGATGGCTCAGTGGTTAGCTGTTCTTCACAGAGCTAGGTTTGATTCCCAGCACCCACATGTCACATGTCAACTCACAACTATCTGGAGCTCAAGTTCCAGAGGACTTGACACATTCTGGTCACTGCAAGCAACCAGGCACACACATGGAACACAGACATACAGGCAGGCAAAATATCAAAATCCACTTCAAAAAAAAAAAATCATGAGTTTTATTAGTCCACGACATGATAGTCATTAGACCTATTTTTGGTACTCTTGAATCAATGCAATATTTTTTTTTAAATCATACAAGACATCCAGGCTCTTTATACTAAATTAAAACTTTATTGAATAAAGAACACTCTCCCGAGCACATGATTGGGTGGACTAGGTCTACATTACATGCAATGAAGCTGAACATGACAGTAGTTTAACATGGAATGTCAAACACATTAGTTTTTCATTGTACAAAACCATTTATGTAGCCCACGTGCAATAGGAAAAATATGATACTCAACATTTCACCAATCATATGTAACGCGTTTTTAAAAAAGGCATTTGAAGAAACTGGTAGATGTCTTTAGCATATAGTTCAAATAAATTAGTTACATGTGCACTGCTGTAACGCCCTTCAGGCCCTCTTGTATTTGAAATAAAATCTTAGCACACACATCGAAGTTACTCGTCGCTATAAAAGGCTGTTAAACTCAGAAGACAAGTTCTGAATTAATGTGTAGTTAAGTAGGACAAAAATCAAATTACCAGTTACTACAAAATTCCTTTAGGCACATTTAATAGTCCACTCTAAGCATTTCTTTTTCTAAGTCTCTCACATTAATGACTAAAGCCTGTTTACAGTACTAAAATTCTATCATTCAAGCATCAATGATTATATTTCAGAGAAAGGAAATCATTCATTTCAGTAATGGCATTACTGCTACATTCTAAAAAGAAGGGGGGGAAACATAATTAACAAAACCAGTATCCATAATAGGACACATGGAGGAAAAAAAAAAATTTTAGGGAAAAAGTGTGCTTTTCTCGCACAGCAGGAATTCTATAATGTAAACACCATATTGGCCCACACCACGAAAATCCATGAGGAAGGTTCAAATTTGAACACCGTGTGCATTAGATTCAAATCTGCATTTGTGAGTTTGTACTGCCTCTGCTTGTACCAATAATGACAAATAAAAAACACTCTTACACACATGCACACCCACACGTAGAAATGAATTGTTAAATATTGAGCATGGCTTGCTTCCCTGATTCTAACTTGAAAAGAAACCGCTTAAATGACATTATGACCGTATTGGAAATGTTGACAGAAACCATTTGGTGAATGTTAAGGGACAGCTGAGGATGATGTATGGGCTCTATGGTAACACCACACAAGGTGGGACAGATGTGAAAAAGAACCCATGGGGATGTAATTGCCATGGGCGACTTTTTCTTTGAGCCTCATCTGAACTTGAATTGATACTAAGAATGAGAATTAAGAATGGTAGCACAAGGTCCACCCACACCCGAAGGGTCAGGCCTAGAATGCTTTTCTGCAAAACCACAAGTTTTTGACACTGGAATGTTTTAGCAGGGACATAGGACAACCTATCATTTCATAAAGAAAACTCGTTGCTGAGGAAGTATGGGTTCCTGGCCAAAAGCTATTTCAGTTTCCCGATAAAACAAAAAAATAAAAAATAAAAAAAATCACCCACTCACTCACATGTACAGAACCATTCTTAAGGTTCGGTTGGGGGGGGGGGTAGAGAGAAAGCCCTTACCTATCTATATTCACCCAATGTGACTCTTACTAGAATTGAAGTTCTTCGAATCAACTACATTAAATTACCAATATGTACCTCCCTTATCCCCCACCTGTGCCACCCAGCTATCCCGAACACCCCCCAAGGAACCTAGGTATTGTAATGTCTTTGTTTTTCTACGCCTCATCGCTGAGGCTGTTGAGTACCACCTCCATGGGAACAAAAATGAACACCCCAGGTATACTTTCTGTAAGCACCCCTTTTTTCTCCTCCACAATCGAGTGGCATCATCTTTGATGCTCAAGCCTCTCTCTCTCTAGATCTCCAGGTCATCGGGCCGAGGTCGGCTGCTGGCGCGGCTGCTGGCTCTGCTGGAGGGTCGCTGGTCCACAATGGCCAGCGGCTGGAGTTCATGTCCAGCGGCCATCTTTTTGGCGTTCTGGTTGTCATCGGGGAAATCAAAAGGCTGGGCGTGGGAGTTGGAGATGGTGCTTCCGGCCTGCCCCATCCGATTTTGCTCGGCACTGTAATTAGCCCAATTTTGCTCGCTGGCTTGCTTGTTGTAATTGCGGCAGGAGGAGTTGTTTCTATCACCAGTAACGAGCTTGTACCCAGGGGGAGACATGGGCGAGAGCGGGGCTGTGGGTGAGGAGCAGCCATTGAAGTAAGCGTACTTGGGGGAGCCGCAGTCCTTGGAGGGGCTCAGTGGGCCGGTGGTGGCGTGGTAAGGATCGCTCCTCCCCTTCACGCGATCCTTGACGCCCTTGAAGAAGACATAGAAGAGTTCGATGATATTCAGGGCGAGGGACACCAAGGACACCACCAGCATGAAGATGATGAAGATGGTTTTCTCCGTGGGGCGCGAGAGGAAGCAGTCCACCTGGTGGGGGCAGGGATCTCTTTTGCAGGTGTAGACGGCACTCAGGCTGAAGCCATAGATGTACCACTGGATCAGGAGGAAGGCCACCTCGAAGACAGACTTGAAGAGGATGCTGATGATGTAGGTTCTCAGCAGGCCGCCCCTCATCTTCACCTTGCCGTGCTCTTCGATGCCGTACTTGAACTTCTTGATTTCGATCTGCTTCAGGTGCATGTCCACGTTGGCGCCGTCCGTCTGGGCCACTTTGAGCTCCTCCTCCTTCTTGTTCAGTTTCTCCTCCTTCCTCATCACGTAGAACACGTGAGCCAAGTACAGGAGCGTGGGCACGGACACGAATATGATCTGAAGGACCCAGAAGCGCACGTGAGAGATGGGGAAGGACTTGTCGTAGCAGACATTTTCGCAACCCGGTTGCTGAGTGTTGCAGCGAAAGGCGGACTGCTCGTCACCCCACGCTGACTCCACCGCGGTCCCCAGCAGCAGGATTCTGAAAATGAAGAGCACAGACAGCCACACCTTCCCCCCAGCCGTGGAGTAGGCTTGGACCTTGTCCAGAAGCTTCCCCAAGGCGCTCCAGTCACCCATGTTTGGGCACCTCCTAAGGAAAAAAAAAAGGAAGAAAGAAAGCAACTCAGTGATTATAGACCGCAAATGGGTGCATATATATACACACACATACACAATTTTTTTTTCTTAAGGCGACTATCAAAATAAGGCAGATTCAACCCAAACCAAACCAAAATTCAAGTGCAACCCTGGCTGTATTTTCCAAAGATGAGGTTAAGTCAGAGAAGTAACGGCACCAAGTTAGTGCCAACCTGTGGGAGGATATATTCCTAGCTGTCACCACCGCAGACAGGCGCCTTCTCTGTGTAAACAGCCCCGCCTGTCCTAGAACTAGCTAGCTCGGTAGACCTGGCTGGCCTTCAACTCACAGAAACCCACCTGCCTCTGCCTCCCAAGTGCCGGGATTAAAGGCGTGCACCACCACAGCCTGGCTGCCTATGCTTATTTTATTCGTCTGATAAACAAGGACAATTCCTGGCTGTGCATGCCTAAGCAAAATATTGTTGTGTATAATTAAAGTATAGGGATCTAAGTAAGGACTTGGGAAAGGACTTACAGGGCCTTACATAGCAACTAACCCTAGTTCCCAAGATGTTAGGATATTGTCTTTGTCCTAATTTCACTCTGAAATGTTTCTCCCTGATATATCAGGCATGTAATTTGTGTGCATTCTGTGTTAAGGACATTTGTACATTTCTCTTCCTTTCTTTGACGGGCCTCCTGTATTAGCCCAGGTTGTTTTTGAAGTTATGCTCTTCTTGACTCTCTCTGCCTCCTGAGATTCTGGGCATGTGCTCCCATACTTGGTCTGTTTTCTATCTAGCATGAGGACTGCTGAGTTTGAGGCTATCCTGCCACTTTGCCTGAATAAAAATCTCCAGACTAACATCCACATTTCCACTGAATTCACTTTGTCTCAATACCATTTAATAGTTTGATAGAGGAAAAAGGACCATATCAAGACTATTTTTCTCAGCCCAGTAGTGGTAGTGCCTTTCATCCCAGGACTTCAGGAAGCAGAGGCAGGCAGATCTCTGAGTTCAAGGCCAACCTGGTCTACAGACTGGTTTCCACGACAGCCAGGGCTACACAGAGGAACCCCGGGTTTTTGTTTGTCACAAAAACCAAATAAAAAGAATATTTTCTCAAGCCAAAAAAAAAAAAAAAAAAAAAAAAAAAGATTGCCTTTTCCAGTTCTCTTGGCGAGTTTTGGGCCTTGAATCAGAGCATCCAATTGAACCTAGCCAGGGGTGGCAGTGCATGCCTATAACTTCTGCACTCAGCAGGGAGAAACAGGAGAATCACTACCAATGAGGCCAGCCTGGGTTCCAGACCAGCAAGGGCTACAAAGTTAGTCCCCGTCTCAAAAAACAAAGCAGGAATGGGAAGATGGATTACTTAGCAGGTGAGGGCTCTAACCACCAGGCCTGATAACCTGAGCTTGAGCCCCAGGACTGACTCACATGGCAGAAGGAGACAACCTCCCTTCAAATTTTTGGAAACAGCTTCCTGCCTACCCAGAAAACCCGTGGTCCTTAGACCAAGACATTCCAATGATCACACAGAGGCTCTGAAGGCAGAGGAAAGTTTCTCTGAGGGTTCAGACGATGTAGGCACACACAGTTTTTTAACAAGGTTGACAGCCAGGGACAACGCAACAAGTAGCAGGACAGAGGTAGTCAAGGATGACCTGCCCCCAGCTCCCGAGGGAGGAGTGGGGTTGTGAATCTCTCCTGGCTCCATGGGTACCTCTGATGATGACCAGACTCCTGCCAAAACTAGAAGAGGTGGGTGGGAAGGTCCAGGCAAATAACATTTTCTAAACAACCATAAACAGAAGGAAAGATCTTTCCTCCTACTTTTCGGGAGGTCATTTCAGACTGTGAAATCGGCGTATGCAGTGTAATCAAAGAGGAGCAAGGGCTGGCAGGGTCCAGAGTTAAAAAGCCAGGGAAAGGCTTGAAGTGAAGGGAATAATTTAATCGTGATAGACAGTAAAATGGTTTGAGAACATAAAAGAGAAAGCCTCTAATTTAGCAGAAAATGCTAGACTAGAACTGAAGGGTAGTCCGCAAGGGTCAAACAAACAACAGAATTTTTTGGAGCCATATCCAGACAGTTCTATGTGATGATGTGTAAATTGGCCCCACTTCTGTTGGTAAAGAATTATAATATTCTGCCAGGGTCATCTGCTTTTGCTCAGATCGCCAGTTGTTGGGGGGGGGGCAGGCGGTGAAAACAAAGTGATCAGATGGTTGCACACATCTCATCAGGATCCCGCACAGCAATAAGATCAAGGCAAGCAGGATGCTCAGAGGCAGACTGGGCACCACGAAAGCTTTGAGTCAGCACATGCCCGTTCTTCAAAGTGAAATACAAGTGAGGGACGCTGGTGGGAGTTCATTATTAAATTCTTTATATCCCGGGTGTAAGAAACTTAACTTCTGTATAATTCTGAGAATCCTCAAAAGTATTCCCAGTGCCAGGGCATGTGAACTAGGTCATCAGTCGGTTCTCTAGGTAATCGTTTTTCTTTCTTTCTTTCTTTTTTATTGCACCAGCAATTTAATTGCAAAGTTGCCTTTTCTTGAAGCACCCACGCAGCAGTCATTTGCATTAATGAGTTACAGCCTTTCATCTGAATAAGATACGAATTATCCAATTTGGGCACTCCAGCTCCTGTAACATGTAGACACCTGTTATTACCACTATCATAGATACCATCAAATAATGCTTAATGGGATGGCTCATCGTGTGACTCCAAACTTAGTTACCTCTCTGTTTTTAGTTGTTCACTGTTACCAATCAACAGTTCTATCCACTGGCTGTTCTTTTTTCTAGACTTTAATATTTTCACTTTTCAGGATCTTAGAGATCATCCAGACCAAAAAAAAAAAAAAAAAAAAAAAAAAATTATTTTGGTTCTTCAGCATAGGGTCTTGCTATGTACTCTTGACTAGCCTCTAGCGTACTTCCTATGTAGCCCAGGCTAGCTTTGAACTTGTAGCACACTTCCCACCTTAGCCTCCCAGAACGCAATTATAACATGGTCTAAGATAATGGTTTGTGCAAAATTCTCAGATATAGGTTCTTTATTCTTTTTCCCCCTTTGAGTCAGGGTCTTATGTAGCCCAGGTTATCCTCAGGTTATACACAGAAAGATGGCCTTGGACCTCCTGCCTACAGCTCTGCTGTGGTTACGAGCCCAAATGAGCACTCATTCAAATTTCAGCTCGATTCCCAGCCCTTAACAGCAGATTCTTGACAGAGACCAGGCCAGCCACTCTTCTAGTACTTTCTGTCTCCTAAATCACTTTCTTTTGCTGGACACAATCACCAAGACCAGATGCTCCAAGCCCCAACCATCTAGTGTGACCTTCACAAGGACCCACTCGGTCTCTTTACAGCTGCTCTAGAACCTTGGTCTCACAACAGCATTTGCTGACATACGTGCCCGGCCCTCAAGAATGGAATGAATCTGAAGCTCTGGAAGGCAAGGCCCGAGAAATCGTCTTTTGTTTTGTTTTGTTTTGATTACTATTTAAAACAAATGTCCCAGGTGGTTCTGAAGTAAAATTTTGTAGGCAAGCAGGAGACCAAACAGTGGCTCCTCAGAAGTTTGGGCGTTTCCCTGCCCAAAAATATTTCCAAGTGGCAGAACATCTGGGAAGGAGAGAAGGCCCGAGTGTCTAAATATTTAGTTGGAGGTACAGAACATTCAAGGACAGCAGGGCTCCGCCACCTGCAAACTGAGGTCACCCTTGTCCCCTCTGTTCACTCTCTGCTACTGCCCGAGATCACAGGAATGGAACTGTTTAACCTAAATGAGTTGTCTTAAAAAGACTTTACATTTGAAATAAAACTAGTTGACTGTCCCTTTCCCTAGAGTCTTAACAAAGCATCCTGTAGAAGCTGCGGTCAAATCGCATGCCCTTGGTATCATAGTAATATTTCAACTGCGATAATTGACTGTTGATTGTATAGAAATTTTCTGATAGACAACTATGATGAGTAAGAAATAAAATTACCGATTACTGTAGCAGGCTTTAATAGCATCTTTTGAGGTAGGGCCGGGCTCAGCCTAGCACTGGGTTTCCTTTGTACCCGAGGGTGACTTTGAACTCCTGGCCCTTCTGCTTTTACTTCAAGTGATGAGATTACAGGCATGTGCTAGCATGCCCAGCTGGCAGCATTCTTCTTTTTTGAGAAATCTCACTATGTAATCTAGGCTCGCTTCAGACTCAGAGATCTGTCTGCCTCCATCTCCAAAGTGCTATGATTAAAGGGGTGTGCCACCACCTCCTAGGCTAGCAACCATCTCAGAATGAGGGAAAGTGAATTTAGATGAAGGTCCTTTAATATTTTATATAAAATTATACTCTCTAGAAATACACGAGGAAATGTCTACGGAAGTTCTTGATAAAGTCACTTAATAGACAATGTAATGGAGGAGGTTATCGCTCTGTGTGTGTTCCGGCCTGCCACGCCTCCCACCCCGTCACCTTAGCCTTAAACTCATGTCTGGATGGATAGCCTGGGTGGTTACCCTTTTCAGCCTTCCAAAATGCTGAGATTATCCCAGCTCCATTGTGGGTTTTGGCTGTGTTTTTTCGAGACAGTTTTTTGTCTGTGTAGCACAGGCTGTTCTTGAACTCAGAAACCCACCTGCCTCTGCCTCCCAAGCACCAAAATTAAAGATGTGTATCATCACCATGTCCAATATCATATGCTGAGCCTAAAAAACTGTATGCTCCTAAAACTCCTAAAATACAAACTTTCCTACTATTTCCCTTTAGCTTTATAAGGAAACCTGCCCCTTATACCAAATGCTCAATTGTGACTTTCCCTGTTTATTTCCAAGCACAGACAGATGGATTTTTTGGGTTGTTAGGGCAACTTTCAGTTGACACATGAATAACATACCTGAATCTAATGTGAAAGATAAGCTTTATCTTCAAGATGAAATCAGACTCTGACTGCTTCCTCCCAGCTTCCTAGCATGTAGCCTGACTCACCTCTCTTCAAGTTTTCCGGCCGCTCCTCTTGCCAAAATATTTGCATCTCAGCTCCGCACTACACTCTTCATTTCAGCTCTCATTAGCAAACTTTTCCTGAGCAGGAACTATGCAAGGGTCCTTTCCCAGGTCCCGGAATATCCTGCTTCCTGTCCTATTTTTTTAAACAGCTTTCCTCTCTACCACGTCACACATTTGCATACTGTCGGGATCCTCCAGAATCTGAACCCTGGGAGGGAACTGGGGGGACTCTCATCTGCCGTAACCTCAGCATTTAGGAAGCTGAGACAGATGGATCTCGACAAATTGAAGGTCAGAGTCAGGTCTACAAAAACAAGACTGCCTCAAAACAAAGCAAAATAAAACCAAGATCTTCTTTGAAAAAGCCAGAGGGGCTGGAGAAATGATCCAGCAGTTAGGAACGCTTGTTGCCCTTGAAGACAGAGGACATGGGTTTGTATCTCCACATGCCTATCTATGGCTTCAGTAGCTTCAGAGGATCTAACACCCTCTTTGAACCTGTGGGTTTCAGGCACACACATGTTGTACATTCAGGCAAGAACACTCATACACTTAGAGCAAAGGTTAATTGTGTGTCCCCTCCCCCCACCCCATCACCCAGAAGTAGTGCCTAAAATTTCAAAGGACAGTTTTGCTTAAGGACTGCTGTTAGTTGAAACAATATACTCCAATCATTTTGAGCCACTTAATTTTTTTTTTCTTTTTTCGATACAGGGTTTCTCTGTGTAGTCTTGGCTGTCCTGGAACTCACTCTGTAGACCATCTGGCTGGCCCCAAACTCAGAGGCCCACCTGCCTCTGGCACCCAAGTGCTGGGATTCAAGGCATGCACCACCATACCCAAGTTGAGCTGCTTAAGTTTAGGAGATGTGACCTCAATGGTGGTGAAAAGACCCAAAGAATGCCCCTGTGTTCCCCCAGTTCTGACAGATGGCAACACACAATTTCAAGGTAACAAAGGACAAAAATCAGAGAAGCAGTCTACCTGAAATGCTTGCTTAAAGAATGACCAGTGTGGGGAGATGGTTCTGAATAGGAGAGCAGAGCTGATGTTAACCAGCTAATGTAATACCTCTACACAGCCTGAGTCTAGAGGTGATCTGAATTAGCACACCACAGAAAACATGGACAGATCAGACAACTCAACCTTTGCAACCTCGTACCGGGAGAATATGCTTAGCTCTTGTCAATGAAACCTATATAATCATTGTCACAAATGCTGACACACAGGTTTCAGATTACCTCGATTCCTTTGTTAGGGATTCTCTAATATCCCCAGTCTCACAGGATTTGATATGGAACAGACAGTTTTTCTGTCCTGCCTACATACATACACATCCTCATCTGAACAGTCAAAATAGAGCAGACTCCACAGAATGGGGTAAACTGTGGCTAAGGGACCCCACCCCAAAGGAAGATGGTAAACCAAGAGACAATCTCTCCCTTTGCTCACCACCGGCCACCCAGCTCCCCTGCCAAAGGCTGCTCAGTCAACTTTAGGGATGGGGATGGAGGGAGTTAGAAGCTGCAGACTAAAAGCCATATTCAACTGCCATCCAAGTAACTTGAAAAAGCCATCATTTTTTTGTTAATTTCGTCTGCCTCCACCCACACCCACCTCCAAAGATAGCTTACTAAACAATGCTGTTACTCTGAGCATGTAAACACAGGTTTAGGATGCCCAAATATATTAAGAACAGTCTTGGTGGGGTAGTGGTGGCTCACGCCTTTAACCTCAGCACTCCGGAGGTAGAGGCAGGTGAATCTCTGTGAGTTGGAGGCCAGCCTGGTCTACAAAATGAGTTCCAGGAAAAGCTCCAAAAGCTACAGAGAAACCTTGTCTGGAAAAAAAAAAAAAAGAAGAAATTCTATTTGCCTCAGTAAGCACTCCATGAGATAACTCATGTATTCCGTGCTTTCAGTTACCACCATGATAAAATAATTTGGTATCTTTTTCTGTAACAAAATAGTAACTAAAACTGTTCAAACAACATAGTTTCTAAAAATTGTAAACAGCTAGAAAAGTTGAGACATGAAGTTCAGGCAAGTTACCTAAAGAACTAACCATGGGTTGAATTTTGGCAAAAGGTATTTTGCTCACACATCTCTACATGGTAAATTAACAGTCATGGAAAGTGGAGGGTTTAATCATTTATCCCAAAAACTCAAAACACATTCGCACCTTCTTGCCTAGAAGTAGCTGGGAGGTTTTTTTTGTAAGCTTGGGTGTATTCTATACTGAATGTGGACGTTAATGATACACAAGATGATTACATTCTCTCTCCTGAGCTGAGCTGGACCGGCCCCAACACATCAAGAGTCAAACAGAATCTTGAAGTGAAGTTAGAACAACAGGAAAGGTGGAGTCGCAGGTATTAATCAGTGGGTGACTTTCCTATCGTTCCCCTTCCCTCGGGGTATATAAAGTTTCTACAGTTCACGCCGAGCTACACCTCTGCATACGGTAATAATTAAAGCAATGCAGTGTCTGCCATCCCCTTCTCTCTGTGCCTGAACTGGAAACGTCTAAGTACCTAACCAAACGCTGCTGCTCCCTATCTGGAAGGAAATGCAGCCTTCCTTTGCTCGCTGCTGGCTTTCGAACCAAACTTCCCATGGAAGGTCATGGGAAGGAGAGGAGGAATCCCAAACTGCAAGGGATGAGATGATGGGGGCAGCGGCGATGATGAAGAGCTTCAAAGGGGCACTAGAAAAATACGGTAGGCGTTAAGACCGTGGGAGATCAAAGCACGGACCACCGGGGGCCGCAGGCCAAGGACGGTGGCTTTCACACACTAGGGAGACACAGTCCAGTAATTGAGAATTCAACACCTCACCGGGACAGAATGTACGGTCTGTAATTGCGCTCATTTTCACTCAACTCGGCCTACCAAGCAGAATCTAGGTCCTCATTAGCATATCCTATTCTACAGGCTTTTATTTTCAGCAATTCTTCTCAAAAAAAAAAAAGTAATAATAACATTAAGCTTCCTCGTGGCACACTGCTGGCCGTTGGATTGGTAAGATTTACCACTTTTCAGTCACTTAGTACTTTGATGGCGGAACAAAGGAAATGAAACCCACCTCCAAACACAGCCCGGTGGGCTTTTTAGGTCTCTAGTCTGCTCTTGCCACCCGAAACCCAGCACGGGGAGGGAAGGGAAGCTCGCCTCCGCGCGCGGGCTGGGGAGCGCCGGTCCGAGGCTCGGCCAGACGTGCCCAGCGAGCGTTAGGTGGACCCGGGGGGCACGAACCCGAGAGCTCTGCTCGGAACTCAAGGTTTGAATTTCCCAATCCCGGACGGATCTGCCTCAGCCCACGTCAGGAGCCTGCCGCACGGTCTCTCGAAGGGTCTTCTTTGCCCCTCCTTCTTCCGCCCCGCCTCATTCTTAGGGAATTTCAAGAGTTTCCACGAGTGTTACAAGTGCCTTGACCAGTAACCGGGGCTCCCTAGGTGTTCAGAGGCCCTTCCCAGGGGCTGCACCCCTCGAATTTAGGGAGAAGAGGGTGAGGAAGGGTGGTGGGGAGGGGGGAGACTTTCAACTTGAATTAAGTCGATCGCTTGCTCTTTGACCGACGGGCGGCGAGCCCGGTCTCCCCTCCCCTCCCCCCCTCCGCGGGCCGAGGTCTGGACCGCGAAGCCCGGAGGCTGCGGGGAGCGCGAGCTGAGCTCGGGATGCTAAGATGGCAGGACCGGCCCGCGCAACCGGCCCCCCCAAAGCTTTCACTTCGGTTCGACTCTCAACCTCATCTGGTACAAAAAAAAACCCAAGAACTTCAATACAGACTCACCCTGAGTTATTTCCGTCTGGATTTAGGCGGGACAGAATGAACTCGGGGCAAAGTGCTTTACAGAATGTGTTACCGATAAAAATAAATACAACAAAACACAAAAGGCTTTAAGACGGACCCCTTTTAAGCTGCCCGTTAACATCATCTTTGCCTAGTGCTTAGCGCCAACTCCAAACTGTCCCAGCAGCTCCGAAGTCGCTACAGGTCTCCTCCGCAGGCAGGCGGAGGAGGGAGGGGGGGGTAGCTCCCTCTAAAAGTGCGGCTTCAGAAAGTGCCTTTCCCCAATTCCTCCTAGGAGCTCGTGTTTTAGCAGTTGATTTTGGAAAAGCATCCTGGCACACACACACACACACACACACACTCTAAAACGCCCGTTTCTCCCCTAACGCTCCTCTAAGTCACCACCACCCCATTCAAGATTTCTCCTGCCCCGGAGTTGCCAGCGTGGTGGAGTTAAAAGCTGGCGGTGCGTGCAAAGAAGGGGTTCGTCCCGAAGCTGCGCGCGGGCTTGCACAAAGTAACCACTGTTGGCCGGAACAGCAGCCTCCTGATCTCCATATCTTCTGGCTTTAATCCTGAAAAGTCTAAAGAAGGAACCACGTGGAAGTCAAGTAGCCGCAGCTTCCCAACAAAGCACTCTGTCACAAAAGGGATCTGCTGTTTGAAGGCTGCAGATCGGCGGCCAGTATTTCCATATGAAAAAAAAAAAAAAAAAAAGCACGCAGTTAAATACACAATAGCAATAAAACTAAGCAAACTTGACGGAAATGTCCAACCCAACGCTTCTGCCCCCCAACCCAGCCCCCACCTCCCGCAACACCTACCCGATTAGTGACTACGCAAAAGTAAAAAAGTTAGGCTCCGCGACAAAGAGCCACATTTAGTAACTTGGTTCCTTACGCTGGCTGGAAAAGTTTGAGTCTTTTACCTGTTGCATTGTCAGGAAAACTTTCTAAACAACCCAAATCTAAGCCAGCACGTGGCGATGAAAGGCACTTTGAAGTCCCTCGCTCGGCTGGCAGTATCATAAGGCAAAGTGACAACGCATTTATAAACCGCAATAGGAGAGTTTTCCTTACAGAAGAAGACGCTAATAGGTAAAGTGAGGTTTTTTTTTTTTTTCTTTTTCTTTTCAAAAACTTACTCTTTCGCTTAATGAAAGCGAAGCCGGCGCGCCAAAGCGGTGAGGCTCCTTGGAGGCCGAAGTCAAAGCAAAGGAGAGCTTTAGGCTCTCGGACCTGTCTATTTAAAGTTTAAACGTCTGCTGCTGTTTGGTACTTTCCTCACGCCTTCCCCCAATGAAAGAAAAGTGCTGATACCTCGTAAAAGCGTTTTTCTAACTTGGAGCACAGAGCTTTTAAAAGTTTCAAGCCACTGACTCAACTCGAAGGCGGGGCTAGGGGAAAGGGGAGGGAGGAAGGAAAGGCGGGGAGGAGGCTGGTGAGCGTGGGGCTGAGCAGGCAGAAGCAGCAGCCGGGTCAAGATAAAGTGTAGTCTGAACGTGCTGGAGAGAAAGAAAAAAGAAAGAAAGAAAGAAAGAAAACAGCCCTAGATATACCTCCGCCACTACTTGGCTGTGACTCCTCACTGATTTAAAAACTGTTGAGTCTGGCGCTGGCTTCACCAGATGACCAGGGAAAGCGAGACCATGTACGTTTTATATTACATTTTTCTAAACTAAATAAACCAAAAAAAAACAAGTACAATACATTAAAACGGGGGAGACGAGGCTAACCAGTGTGGACTTGTTCTGTGTTGCCCAAGCTGTGTGAAGCTTGAGGTGGGTGTAGTGATCTTTCTTATGACCTAATTCCCTTCCTCTTAAAACACGGACAATTAACAAAGGAAAGAAGCGGTGGGCATGGGAAAGGCATTTCGCAACCAGATGTGAGTGGTGGTGTGTCTACCCCTGCCGCTTCTGGACTGAGTTAGGAATTTTTACTTGTTCTTTCAATTAAGCACCAGAAGATACGTGTTACAATATATCATGTATATAATTTTTGACTGAAATGTTGATACTGACCTCTACCAGATCTCCAAGGAAGTGAAAATTTATATCTCAGGCCTAGTCATGCCAACATTTTAACATTTAAATCTGCAGTGAGCTGTCAGAATTCTCTTTAAAACAAAACAAAACAACAACAACAAAAAACCCTGCAGATTAGAGTTGCCAGATGCATTATTTTGGCATAAAGTGGCTCAGAAAACTTCACCCCCTCTTTCGATCATGTCCCTGGAAGCCCAGCCTGGTGATTGTTCGCCACTCCAAAGCTTTATGGTTCTCATCAGACCTGGTGGGGTTTCTGAAGGTCTGAGCCACATGGCCTCATTCCTAGGGTGGGCAGCTTCTTTGAGGGCTCCCAGATATCCTCTAAGAGGGCTTGTGGTAGGAGAGTTGCCATAAACAGGCTTCAGTGGTGTCGGACAGGGAAGTCTCTTGGCCTTTTTACAGACATCCTCTGATACTCCTAAACTTTTCACACTAATACAGATAGCAGACCAAAGAAAGATGGCAAAGGTTTCCTGGGAAATACTTTCCCCAAGTATCCTCTCACTGGAATGACTAAGGACCATTTGAAATCTTACCATTTAAGACACCAACATGCTCGATTACTTTTGATTTATCCCATTCGTATTAAGGTTTGCATGCCTTTAACTTCAAAACGGGAAATGATGTTATGTTCAAGGTTTCAGGCTCAGCAACCTGAAATTAGTTTAAAAAAAAAAAAACATTTATTTAGTGTGTGTGTGTGTGTGTGTGTGTGTACACAAGTGGAAGTTAGAAACTTTCAACTTGTGAAAGTTGGTTCACTCTTTCCATTTCAAGGCTGAGCCCAGGTTTTTAGACCTGGCCACAAGCACCTTTACCACTGAGCCATCTTTCTGGCCCTTATTAAATTTATTTATTTATTTACTTATTTAGTTAGCTTGTTTTGTTTTGTTTTTCGAGAAAAGCAAACAAATGTCTCTCTGTCCCTGGCTGTCTTGGAACTCACTACATAGACCAGGCTGGCATAGAACTCACAGAGATCTGCCTGCCTCTGTCTTCCCAGGAATAAAGGTGTGTGCAACCATAACTGGCTTATTAAGTTTATTTTTAACTGATAAAATATAAGAATTGTACATAATGTTTGAGTAATGTGCTATTTAGAGACATATGTAAAATCCGGGGTGTTGAACTCAGTATATTTGTCTGCTGAAACATTTATCACTCCCTATGCTAAAATATGCAGATTCTGAAAAGAAATTCTTTTTGAAACACATGATACACCACACTTAAAGAACAATCGCTGTTAAATTCAGTGTCCACAAACAGGCCTTTCCCTGTTCCTCTTTTCTCTTTACAAAAACAAATTTTATTTAATTTACAGAAAGATTTGCTTGCTGGGTGTGGTGGCCCACGCCTTTAATCACAGTACTCTGGAGGCAAAGGCAGGCGGATCCCTGTGAGTTCAAGGCTAGCCAGTTTTACAAAGCAAGTTCCAGGACAGCCTGGGCTACACAGAGAAACCCTGTCTCTAAAAAACAAACAAAAAGGTTTGCCTTATTTTTATAAAATTATTTGTCAAGTGCAATTATTACCAATACCTATTTTATTAATAATATTCCTGTAATATCAATTCAGAATTAGTTGCAAAAATACAAAAAACAAAACCAAAAGACAAGTTGTGATTGGTTAACAATCTTACAATAGAATTTTTTCCCCCTTTGGTTTTTCGAGACAGGATTTCTCTGTATAACAGTCCTGGATGTCCTGAAACTCACTTGGTAGACCAGGCTGGCCTCGAACTAACAAAGATCTGCCTGTCTCTGCCTCCTGAGTGCTGGGATTAAAGGCAAGTGCTTTTTTTTTTTTCTACCTGGCCCCAGTAGAATTTTTAAAAGCACAATTATGTTTTTTGTTTTTTTTTTTGTTGTTGTTATTTTGTTTTTTTTCCTATTTTTGAGGCTGTGGCCCACACGGCTCAACCTGGCCTTTAACCTCTGAGCTTCCTCTTGCTTCTCCCTTACAGCACAGGTATTGTATGGGTGCCACTTGCTGGGCTAAACAAATGTATTTCTAGTTAGGTTCTGAGAAATGCACATTATTCTTTTATTTATTTTAATTTTATTTTATTTTATTTTTCCTTAATGTAAGGTCTGTGTACTTTGTGAGCAGGCTGTGGGACTCCCTGGGACTGAAGTTATAGATGGTTGCGAGTGGCCATGTGGGTGCGGGGAATTGAACCCAGGTCTTCCAGAAGAGCAGCCAGTGCGCTCAGCCTCTGAGCCGTCTCTCTAGCACCCTTGAGAAGCACATTATTGTAGCAGACTGTTTTTCAGAACTGTGCTTGTTAATAGGAGAGCTGACTTCACTTTTTAAATTTTACCTTCGTCTACAAACACACACTTAGGGGATTTTGAGGTGCACAGAATAAATTTTAGGGATGTTAAAGGTCTGTCTCATGTTAACTGTTAGGCGATCTTTTTTCCTTTGAGACTGGGTCTCACTGGGTAGCGCTGACTTCGAACTCACTCTGTAGACCAGGCTGTCCTTGAACTGAAGATACACTCTTAGTGAGTAGCAGGAACATTAGAAAACACTACTGATGTAGAGAGGGATGCAGCTCCAGTCACTTGGGAGTGGGAGGCAGGACAGTCAACTGAGGAGAGTTTCAAAGCAGGCCGCAGCAACAATTGTGGAACCCTGTCTTAAATCAAAAACAGGGTGTAGAGACTGTTGTGAAGGGTTGCAATGTGTGAGAGAACGGAAGAGAGGGGAGCCGTGCCTGGGAACGGCTGTGACAAAGGACAGAGAAAGGAAGCCGAAATATTCGAACCTGATGATGGACTCCAGTGGGAAAGCAAGAGGTAAGGGGAGGTGGAGAGCGAGTTTGGAAATTTAACTAGGAAAATACTACTAACCCCAAACAAGGAAGTTGGGGAGCGACCCACCAGTTGGAAGACACAATCGTTTCACTCTGGAGTCTCCTGTGGTGAAGAGCAGAAACGCCTAGGCGAAGATACCTGAGCGACCTCTCAACTGTGGGCTAAAGTGTTCAGGTTAAAATGGTTGAAAGGTTTTTGATTAAGTGAAAAGAATCAACCGTTTAAAGGCCCAGGTCCTGAAGTGTTTGTCAGGAGAGGGAATGTCGACAGTGAATCTCCAAGACAAAGCCTGAGTGGCTTTCCTCTGACGCCCACAAAGAAAGAGCATGACAAAGGAGGAGGGCATTCAAAACGCTCTCAGAAGGGGCTTGTTTGGGAGGAAAATACCTCCAGCCAGAGGCCTCCTGGGCCTTCAACTTTGAAAGGGCGATTATTCACGGAAAACAAGAGTGAATGCGGACCTTACCGGAAATGAAGGGCTGAGGTAGAACACCGGGAAAGGGGAGAGGGAACGTAGTTTCTCTTCAAGTGAGTGGGGTTGTCACCTGACTGAGGAATTGATATGTATCTCTTCGGGAATTAAAATGAATCAGTGGAAGACAGAGCTATCTAAGATTGGAAGGATAAAAAAAATAACATTGCAATGGCCCTCAGATACCATTATCTTTTTTCTATCTTCCCTCCCCTCCCCCCATATATACCCCTTACTGGTCCGCTGCCCCTCTCTGATGCCCCAGTTCTGGATTAAAGGTGTGCACCACCACATGTGGCCAGCTTTATCTGATGCTGGTTTTTTTTTTTTTTTTTTTCTGTCATTTTAAATTTTGAGATAAAGCCTCACTGAGCAGATTACGTCCCTCCTCCCTCACTTCCTGTCTGGGGATGCTGGTGTGAGTGGCCAGCCAGGTTTAGATTTCCTTCCATCTGTATTACAACACTTTTTTTTTTTTTTTTTTTTTTTGCATGCATGCATCAAATTTCTATTTTTTTTTTTTTTTAGTCTTCGAGGAAGGATTGAATGTGAACTTGGGAGCTCAATAGCATGCAACATAGGAGTGCTTTACCTAAACTGGTCAACCAATCCGATGGTGTCTCTTACTGTGTATCTTATGTGTAAATGTGTATCTTACTGTGACGATTAGGGAGCCAGGTTTTCCTGAGTGTCGGCTTCACAGCCAAACTGCACTTGACAGAATCTGATACCTCACAACTCACCTCTTCATTCCAGAGGACTCACGTAACTGAAACCTTGCTCCCCATTTATTTAGCAACCTGCCATCCTTGAAAACAATGTAAAGATCAAAGTTTGACACTATCTAGGTAAAATTTCAAAGACTCCCATCCACCTCTTAGGGATGGCGATGGTGAAGCCAAACAAACAAACAAACAAAAAAGGTATTTATAAAGGGAAGGAAGAATTTGTTTGGCTTTGTTTTGTTGAAAGGGAAAGACGCTTAGCTGTGGATAAATACGCCTCT